CTTCCGCTTCGCCCCTTGCATTTGCTTCTTCTTCCCCACTTCCACATCCATTTTCAAAACTGGCTTCTTCCTCCTCCCTGCTTCGCCCCCCCTGCGAGTTCTGGGCTTCGTTCTTTTTGAATCTCAGATGGCATTCGATTCGGATCTGGAAATCATTGGGAGGAAACGGGCGTTGTGGCTACTATATGCTTCCGTCGTTGTCGTGATTACCATGGATGTTGAGCTCTTGCAAGCTTCAATTCCTAATGCTTCAGCTCATAACGCATCAAGGCCTCCAATACCCACTCCCAATTTGATCTCCCCCACCATTTTTAATACGCCTGAACAATTTTATTCCGATCAAATCCGTCAAGAAAACTGCTCATCCTTTCCAAGTTTCTTCTTCTTCTTTTGCAACCTCTCTCATCACTTTTTTTTTAATGGGATTTAGCATTGTCTGTGCATTTTTTTTATTTTTTCACTGCAATTATTTGTCAATTTGGCCTTGTATATTGGTGCAACTCAACTCTTCGATGGGAAAGATAGAAAATTCAAGATTTTGATTCTTTGGTATTCGGCATAAGATCTGATTTTTGGCTTTGTTTTTATTTATTGGGTGTATTCTAGTTTTTCAGACAAGAAAGTGGAAGTTTTTATAATTAAAAATAAAAAATAAAAAATAAAAATTTAGTCCTAACTAGTCCAGCACTGCACCAAACATTTCACAATTCTAGTACTACTTAGTCCATACCAATCCAGTCCAGCTTAGTCTCTGAATCTAGTATGAGATAATCCGGTGCAACAAACGCATCCTAGGGGATTAAACTGTTTTTCCAGTTGAAGTTGTTTTCCCAATTGGAGAAAGATTCATAATTAGATTTCAATTAGGATGAGTAATCCTTATTGAAGAAGATCTTTTTTATGTTAATATAAAGGGGCTATTGCAATAGTTTTAAAGTGGTGTAAAACAATAAGTTGTATACCACTCAAGGAGTCAAGAGTGAGAGAATATTGTGAGGGCAAAGTGTGTGCGAGAGAAAAGAAAAGACATAAGTGTGTATTTCTTGTTCTTTAGAGGCTTGGCAAGATTATTCGTTGTCCTCATTATGATATAATGTCGTTGCACATAGCCGAACCACATATATAAACTCTTGGTGTGATTTGCCTGGGTTATTTGTTTCCCATTTCCGAGTTTGTTTTTCGCATTCTTGAAAAGATTATTCGTTGTCCTCATTATGATATAATGTCGTTGCACATAGCCGAACCACATATATAAACTCTTGGTGTGATTTGCCTAGGTTATTTCCGAGTTTGTTTTTCGCATTCTTGAACTCGATACTCACAAAAATATAAATTATACTCGCCTGTTGAATGGTTTTGGCTGTTGGAAATAATGTCCTGCATAGTGTTTGTTGTTTCAATCTTTCAACGAACATAGTAAAGGTGAAATTATAAATCTTGGATGATTACTTGATTCTTCTTAATTGGCTCTTTTAAGTTCCCCCCCCCCCCGGATGATTACTTGATTCTTCTTAATTGGCTCTTTTAAGTTCCTCCCCCCCCCCCCCGGTTCAATCTTGATAAACACAAAGCAAGCACAGACAACATGATGCAGCAACCACCACTCAGAAAACTATTAACACAGAGAAGCTATGAAAAGCAATGGATACTAGAATTGAATACGAAGATGATGAGGAAAGATAGAGAGGAAGAAAGAGGAAATGTATTAAAGCTTTCAGAAATTCTTACAATACTTTCTTACTCAAATGAGAACCCTATGACCCCTTATATACCCATAAGAACTAATTACAACAATACCCTTCTTCCTGTATTAACTAACCCATCTTCTAGATAATGCCATGTGACAATTCTGTTATACATGTGGCAATTCTGTTATTCTGTTATATTGGTTATTACTCCCCCCTCAAACTGAACAGGGAGCTGCCAAGTGAAGTTTGAAACAGCTAAACACCTGAAACCAGATCGAAAACTGAACCTGAAACAGCAAGAGCAAGGTGTCTGCAGTGCTTGGCAAACACAGGACTATGCAGGCCTTTGGTGAATACATCTGCAACCTGTTCTTCAGTAGGTATATATTGGACGATTAAATCACCCCGTTTGACCTTTTCACGAACAAAATGATAGTCGGTATCAAGATGTTTGATCTTCGAGTGAAAGACAGGATTCGAGCTTAGAGCTAAAGCACTCAGATTGTCACAGTGAAGTACTGGAGGCACCAAGATTCGCTGATGTATGTCTTTGAGGAGAGATCGAATCCAAAACAAATCTGCTGCAGAATGCGCTAAAGCTTTGTATTCAGCCTCAGTAGAGCTGCGAGATACTGTGGATTGCTTCTTAGACTGCCAAGAAATGGGATTATCGCCCAAGTAGATCACAAAACCAGTTATAGAACGTCGGGTGTTTATGTCTGCTGCCCAGTCTGAATCAGAATAGGCAAGCAAATTGAAATCCAAGCTCATTTTGTAATGCAGACCATACTCAAGTGTTCATTTCAAGTACCTTAAGATGCGTTTGACAAGATGCATATGAAGATCAGTCGGGAAAGTCATAAACTGACAGACCATGTTAACAGCCTGAGCAAAATCTGGCCGAGTAAATGTCAAATATTGAAGAGCCCCTACCAAACTTCGATAATGACTTGGGTCAGAGAGAGGAGCACCTTCTTGTTCAAGAAATTGTGCATGGGGCTTAGATGGTGTTGATGTAGGCTTACATGTCTCCATTGCTGCCTTCTTGAGGAGATCTTTAGCATATTTCGATTGACTTATAAACAGTGATCCATCATCTTTATACTGAATCTGCAATCCCAAGAAATAAGATAATCTGCCCATGTCCTTGAGATCAAACACTTCTGCAAGGTCACTGATCACTGCTTGAACTGTTGTAGGATTGGAACCAGTGAGTATAATATCGTCTACATAAAGCAATAAGAGGACAATATCCCCTTTATCTACTTTAACAAATAAGCTTGTATCAGATAAGGAAGTTGTGAAACCAAGGGATGGAAGATAACTTGTAAACTTTGAGTTCCAAGCTCTCGGGGCTTGTTTCAAGCCATAGAGAGATTTAATGAGTTTACACACATAACTTGGACAGGAAGGATCCACAAATCCTTGAGGTTGCTGCATGTAGACCTCTTCCTCGAGATCACCGTGCAAAAAGGCATTTTTAATGTCTAGTTGTCGCAGATTCCAACCAAACTGTGCAGCTAAAACAAGAATTAATCGAACAGTAGTGTGTCTAACCACAGGACTGAAAGTCTCTGAGTAATCCAGGCCTTGTTCTTGAGTGTACCCCTGAGCAACTAACCGAGCCTTATACCTTGATATTGTACCATCTGGATTTTTCTTTATTTTATACACCCATTTACTACCTACAATTGTTCTGTGAGATGGAGGTGGAACTAGAACCCATGTACCTTGAGCCTTTAATGCATTATATTCGTCTTGCATAACATGTTGCCATTCAGATTTACACGATGCTGCTCTAAAAGTTTTAGGTTCGTCAGGTTCTGTGATATCATCTAGAAATGAAAACCCTCCAGGACATGCACTAGTAATGGACTTAGAACATGACATATCTGAGCAATACGCCAGTATTTGTAATGAACGTAACTCAGGGAAAGTGGCCAAATAAGCTGCATAATTCTTTCTGGAAATAGCACCTGTTTGTAATCTAGTTTGAATCCGAGGATGAAGTGGGTCTTGTACAGGTAATACATAGGAAACAGTACTAGAAGAGTGCTCAGACAAAGGTAATAATAACTGAAGTTGAGTAGCTTCTGATGGTACGGTGGGAGCAATGCCAATGAACTCCATGCAAGTTGACGTGCAAGGGGCTGCAGGTGGATTCTCTGTAAACGTGAGTCTTTAAATATAAGTATGTAAATATATTGTTAATATTAGGAATCCTTTTTTAGGAAGGATTATTTGTTGTGTACTTTTTTTAATTATAGTTTCCTTATAGAACAAGGATTATATTTGTATATATTTCAAGGAAGTAATACAATGAAATTACCCCGTAAAAATTCTATTTGGCATCAAGAGCTAGTGTTGTCGAAACCCCAATTTTTCCGCTGTGCTTGGTTGACTGTTTTTCTGCAAATCTTCTGCAGAAAACAGTGTTGCCGTGTGTGTGTGTGTAATCTTGCTGGTGTGTGCAGCAGTGTGGGTGGTGCTGTGTCTGGTTGACTGGTTTCTACACAATGTACCGTGTGTGTCTGGTTGATTGGTTTCTGCACGGTGTGCCATGTGTGTGTGGTATTGCCGCATGCGCAGCAGTGGTGAATCATCAGTCAGTCTTGCTGTTTTTCTGTTTTTTTTTCTTTTGGTCAAGCCGAATGGCATTAGAAGGAGGCAGTGGCGTGTTGAAGTTGGAAGGCAGTAACTCAACCAATAATCCAGTATTGAATCCTGTCGTTATTCAGAGTGATGCGTCTGCTTTACCAAACACTGTGAAATTAAATGGATCAATTATGATGCGGTAGGAAGGGCTTTGTGACTGGGAGTACCAAGGAGCCTGCTGAGAATAGTGCTGAATATATGACATGGGAGACAGGGAATGCAATAGTAAAATGGTGGTTAATCAATTCCATGGAACCTGCTATCATGGGATTTTTTATTCACCTGCGTACTGCTAAAGAAGTTTGGGAAGAGGTGGCTCAGACCTATTATGATGGTTCGGATATTTCTCAAATTTATGAATTGAAGGTTAAATCCTTCAGACTCCGTCAAGAGGGCCGGCCAGCTGGTGTGTATTATGCTGACCTCAAGTCCGTTTGGCAGGAGTTAGACCAAAAGAGACCAATCAAGATGAAGTGTGCTGTGGATCTCAAGACCCTTCGGGAAGAGATTAAAATTGATCGTGTGTATGCTTTTTTAGCGGGTTTGGATGATATCTTTGATAAGGTACAGAGTGATATTCTACGTATTCAACCCTTACCATCTGTTGAGGAAGTGTTTTCTGTTGTTCAGCGTGAAGCACAATGACATGCTACTATGATGGGTGAAAGTAACAACCAAGGTGGGCCGCCGTCCATGGCCATGATTTCTCGGCTAGCTGCTGTCCCTCGTTTTAATAATTATTCTAATCACTCTTTAAATTCTTATCCCTTCAACCGAGAAAATAAAGATGATTTGAAGTGTACTTTCTGTGGACAAACCCGTCATAGTGAGGATACGTGTTTTGCTAAGCATGGGGTGCCTGATTGGTTTCCAGAATTGAAGAAGAAATTGCGTGCAAAGGAGCATGGAAGTGTAGGAAACAATGGAGGCCATGCCTCCCTAGCTACAGCCCCACCAACAGCAAATGAGGCTGAAACTCCTGGTAATGACCTGAGTCAAACCTTGCTGACTTGTTTTACCTATGGTGGCTCGTCCACCACCGCAGGTACTGTAGGGCATGGTCTTTTGGCCACCGATACCAAGCATCACACAGGTTGGATTCTGGACTCTGGTGTAACGGATCATATGACATATGATAAGAATATGTTTCAATGTCTGACAACATCTCACAGGGAATATATTGCCACTGCCAATGGTACCCGTGCTCCTGTTATTGGTGCTAACACCGTGTATCTCACGGCCTCTCTCCCTTTACACTGATGTTTACTTGTTCCATCTTTATCACATCATTTACTTTCCATACCACATGTTACTGAACAATTGGATTGTGTTGTTCTAATGTATCCGTCCTTTTGTCTACTTCAGGATATTCAGACCAAGGAGATAATTAGGCGTGGCACTAAGAGAGAGGGGTTATACTATATGGATGATGTTGTTCCTGGTAGAGCTCATGCAGTACGAGTATTCCATGATAGTAATCTACAAGAAGTATGGTTATTGTATCGTTGATTAGGGCATGCATCCTTTAGATATTTAAGGCATATGATGCCTAGTTTATTTAGTGGAATAAATGAATCAGACTTACATTGTGATGTATGTATTCTTGCTAAAAGCCATTGTGCTTCGTTTCCTCCTAGTATGAATAAAACATTTTCCGTTTGATCTTGTGCATTTCGATGTTTGGGGGCCTTCTCCAGTTACTACTCCTTCGGGAATCCGGTGGTTTGTTACATTTGTTGATGATTACACTCGTATGACATGGCTTTATGTGTTGAAAAATAAAAGTGATGTTAGTGCCATATTTCGGTTTTTTGCTCAGCTAGTTCAGACACAATATTCTTCTGTTATCAAGGTTCTTCGTTCTGATAATGGCAGAGAATACATCAATTCTGAGTTGTCGGGTTTTCTATGTGATCAAGGGATCCTCCATGAAACCACATGTCTGCATACTTCGCAACAAAATGGGGTTGCAGAGCGTAAAAATCGCCACATTTTGGAAACAGCCCGTGCCTTGCTCCTTGGGGCTTCTGTTCCTCCGCGTTTTTGGCCTGAAGCAATTACCTATGCCTTGTATGTTATTAATCATATGCCTTATTGGGTGGTTAGTTTCCAAAAACCTTTTCAAGTCCTCACATAACATGCTCCCGTGGTGTCACGTAATACTCTCACCCATCGAGTCTTTAGTTGTGTGGCTTATGTTCATATTTAGAAAATACATCGAAGTAAATTGGATCCGTGTGCACTACGGTGTGTCTTTCTGGGTTTCTCTTCTCACCAAAAGGGGTATCAGTGTTACCATCCTGAAACCTGGCATATGTATGTAACCATGGATGTGACCTTTTCTGAAATAGAATATTTCTACACTTCTGTCCCTTCCATTTCAGATCACCAGGGGGAGAAGAACATTGTTGGTAATTTGAGTCGGTTTGATCTAAGGGGAGATGTGATTATTGAACAGCGTGTAGGACCTGGAATTGTTGGCGTCGAATGTACAGTGAGTACCGAGTGTGTTGACAACTCAGGTGATGGTGGTGATTTGATCAAACCCATAAGAGAGCCTCAGCTAGCTGTTGCTGAGGAATGTCCTAGTGCTCAACAGTCCCTTGCTGAGCCCACTACACTTGTTCTTGCTGAGTCTAGTACGCCTTTTCTCTCTAGTTCCAACGTGCTGCCCAATACGTCTTCTCTGAATATGCCTGAGGTAAGTATTGTAAATGATTGTGTCATTGATCCAAGTAATAATGTGAGTACTTATAAATTGCCACCGAGACAAAATCGAGGTGTGCCTCCTGTTAGGTTTTCTCATGAAGGGAAGGTGAAGTATCTGATAGCCAATTATGTATCATGTAACAAGCTTGCACCAGAACGTCAGACCTTGGTGAGCAATATGGAGTTTATTCAAGTACCAACTCGAGTGGAGGAAGCTCTAAAAGATCCAAAGTGGGCGAAAGCAATGGATGAAGAGATGTTAGCATTACAAAAAAATAATACTTGGGAGGTGATGATGCTACCCGCAGGAAAGAAGACCGTGGGATGCCGATGGGTATTTACAGTTAAATATAAGGTTGATGGAACGGTCAACAGATACAAAGCAAGCTTGGTGGCTAAAGGGTATACTCAAACATATGGGGTGGATTACCAAGAGACTTTCTCCTCGGTTGCCAAGATGAATACGGTACGTGTTCTTATCTCTTTAGCTGCAAATATGGACTGGCCATTAAAACAGTTCGATGTGAAGAATGCGTTTCTCCATGGGAATTTGGTGGAAGAAGTATATATGGATTTTCCTCCTAGATATAGCAATGGTGGGAATACTGAAGTATGTCGATTGCATAAGTCACTTTATGGGCTTAAGCAATCACCTCGTGCATGGTTTGATAGATTTACTCAAATGATGAGAAGGAATGAATATCGTCAGAGTCATTCTGATCATACGTTATATGTAAAACGTAAACAAAATAAAGTAACAGCCTTGATTATCTATGTAGATGACATGATTATAACAGGAGATGATGTTAATGAGATGTCCAAGTTGCAAGGAAACCTTGCGGCCGAATTTGAAATGAAGGATTTAGGAGATTTGAAATATTTTCTGGGAGTTGAAGTTACTCGCTCTTCTAAAGGTATCTTCTTGTCTCAACGTAAGTATGTGCTGGATTTATTAAAAGAGACTGGTATGTTGGGATGTAAGCCAGTAGAGACTCCTATTGTTGAGAAGCATCATTTGGGTTTGAATCCAAGTCAGAAACCGGTTGACAAAGGTAGATATCAGAGGCTTGTAGGGAGACTTATTTATTTGGCTCATACTTGTCCTGATATTGCCTATGCTGTAAGTGTTGTGAGTTAGTTCATGCATTCACCAAATGTGGATCATAAGGCAGCTGTTATGCGTATCTTGGCATACTTGAAGTCGACACCTGGAAAATGAGTATTGTATGGGAAACACGAGCATTTGAGAATTGAAGGGTTTACTAATGCAGATTGGGCAGGTGATGTAACTAATAGACGGTCTACTTCTGGGTATTTTACCTTTGTTGGAGGGAATTTGGTGACATGGCGAAGTAAGAAACAGAAGGTGGTGTCACGATCTTCAGCTGAGGCCGAATATAGAGGAATGGCTCAAGGAATTTGTGAAATCCTTTGGCTACGAAAACTTCTTTTAGGACTTGGGTTTAAACCGGAGGAGACTATGAAGTTGTGTTGTGACAACAAGTCCTCAAGAGATATAGCTGATAATCCAGTGCAACATGATAGAACGAAGCATGTGGAGGTGGATCGACATTTTATTAAAGGGAAGCTTGAAAAGAAGATTGTATCAATACTATTTGTGAAGTCAGAGGAGCAACTTGCAGATGTTCTTACTCATGCAATGTGTGGATGAAAGTTTGGTGACTCACTTGTCAAGTTGTGCATGTGTGATATCTATGCACCAACTTGAGGGGGAGTGTAAACGTGAGTCTTTAAACATAAGTATGTAAATATAATGTAAATATTAGGAATCCTTTTGTAGGAAGGATTATTTGTTGTGTCCTTTTTTAATTATAGTTTCCTTATAAAACAAAGATTGTATTTGTATATATTTCAAGGAAGTAATACAATGAAATTACCCCGTAAAAATTCTATTTTCTCCACTTCTGTATCGATGTCCCACCAGTTACCAAAGCAACACAATTTAGGAAGAGAGGTCAGTGGGAAAAGGGTAAAGGGGTTTACGGTTCTTGCTCAGGCGTGGAAAGAGGAGACAGACACATGACATCTAATGGCATCGTTGTTCTAATATTTTGGTGAAAGCGTGTTCTCCTTTACACCCAAACCAGAGCTCTCCTTCTTGTGATTAAGTTGTGGTCATTGGTATTTAATGTTCATAAGAATGTGTATATCATTTGTTTAACTCCGATTCTTTTGTTTTAGTAAAAAGAGTACTATAGGTTATCCACTTGTAAACATACAAAAGTTATTCGGATTTTACATTTGAAGAATAGACGGATTTTACTTACAGACGTTGCTCGGAATTTTAGCCCCATTCGTTATAAGCGATAGTGACCCTAGAAGCGCCTGATTGATGGTAGAGATATATCCACAAAGAACCACAATCGTGAAAAGAAAAGTAACAAAAGTGCCATAAAACAGTTGTTTTGAGCAAAAGGTTATGTGCTCTTGAATGGTTGTTTTAATGTTTCCTTCTCTTTTCTCCCTCCCCCCCCACAATTTTCTGGAATTGTACCTACCTCGTAATCCAGTGGTGGTTATATTACCACCCGACATCTATTGAAAGCACCTTTTGCTTAAAACACCTTCACATACTTTGGATTCATGTATTATCTACTAGCCAAAGGGAAGTGATTTATATATCAAGTTTTTCCCCCAACACATCTGTTTATTTCTGGTCTTCAAGTTTAAAGAAATCAAAGGAGAATCAAGAATATACATCAATAGGGGTGTGCGGGAAATTACTTCCCTTAACGAAAATCACTCATCAAACAAACGTGCCTTACAACAATCTTTCATCCTCCATAAACATAACCCACAATTTATATATAATTTTCCACCAATCCTATACAGAAGGATCAAATTACTCTCTCGAATAGTACTTTGGTGATGTGGTGGTTGATGGTTTCAGGGTCTGAGTATGCACAATAGTAAAAGCTCCTCGCAACTATGAAAAAGGTTTGCTTGGTCGAAGATTCTGCACCGTGCAAAGGCTTTTGGAGCACCATTTGCACGAGTTGCTGCATGTCTGATTCGATTTCCTTGGTTGTTACGATGTAGCTGCCGTTTTTATTCACCTGAGAAAAATAACAAGAGAACAACTATATCAAAGACGCCCCATAAACAGAATCTGGAGAAAGTATAGCTTACCCTAATGCAGAAATAGGATTAAATTTCTAACCTTGTGCTTTTGGTTTTGGTAGCAGGGAAGTCTGTTGCAAACTCTGTTGGTGATCTTCAAAAGTTGGTTATGGTCTAGATCATTGGACAACAACGGCCCCTCTGAAAGCGAAATGCCAGCGATTTGATTTATCGTTTCCACCAGCAGCGCGGCTTCATCTTGGTGCATATCTCCTTTCTCTTGCCACTTCAGAAGCCAGTTTTCCCACTGTATTTAATTAATGAAACAAAACAGAAAAAGCCAAATTATATTTTTGGGATTGTGAAGATGTGAAAAATTATCACACGTCGAAAGTTGAACACTCATTGCAATGGCTTATAGGAGTTGGTCCATTCCCTCTGTTGCCAATTGATTTTAGGGTGTTACTTTATGGTGTTTTGCTAGGGACTCACAGCTTGGCGGAGAGGGTGGCTGATGTTTTGGCTATGCGCTGCCATTGCGTCCATTGAGAAGTGGTGTATGGTTGCCAGCAAGGTCTCAATAAGTCCCTGCCGTTTCTTGTTTGTATTCATCTTCCTGTAACACAGGGCATAAATTAATGTCTCATCCAATGTACGTACATGTGCACAAATTTTTCCTACCGCGATACTAACGAGTACTTATGCTGTCAGATTGTTATTTACCTACAAATAATTAAACTATAATTCTAGTATTTGTCTTTTTTAACAAATAATCTACACTAAATCTTTGCTCGGGGAATTGGTGTCCATGCTGGAGGCGAATATATACATAAGATACCAAGAAGGACCAAATTAACAACGGTTGTATTTACGTACGTAGTTCTGAATTCATGCACAAATGCCCTCCTTTGTTCAGGAGTTTCCTCCTTGAAATGAGACCCAATTGTCTCAATTAAGGAAGTCGATTTAGCCCATGCAAGCCGTTCGTTGGATCTTTCCGGTTCAAAAGTACTGGCCGCAGCAACAAAATAGGCCAAGAGGAGGCTTCTTCTACTCAATCCATAGTCTTCAAGTTTACATTCTGCGTACCCCCTGCATTTAATTTGATACAGTACAAATTAAAGTTCCCAAAATTGACAATATACAATTTGTAACAATAAAACAGTTTTTGTTTGGTTTTACTTTTGAATGTTGTCCCATTCAATCAGATGCAGTGTTTGGCAATTGTTGTAGTCCAGTTTTGCCAGCTCGAGATACAAATTATTGTTCACGTATGGCATCCTAAAGCCAATCATCGTTAGAAATAGAAACCAAGTTAAAATGATTGGAAAAGATAGTTAATATCCTAGATCGATGCTGTCCCCTTACAGGGGCATATACTTTGTTGCATTATATAGCGGACGAATCTGAGGATTCAAAAATGGTGAAAACATAATTAAATAAGTAAAATACCTGTAGAGAACCTTGCCAATCCAAACGTCATCTCCTCCACCGTACTGTTGGATGTAGAATCTAGCCTCCAGTCGAGGTAAGCTCGCATACCATGGAACATCCAGTGCGTACTCCACCTGTTTATTGGCTCTCTCTCTTTAGAATATCCTTATTTATTTCTGGACCTCAATGAATCGGTTACTGGAGAAAATTTACTTATGTGGCAACCTTTGTAACTGTTCTTGTTTTATTAATGGAATACTGCTACCGTTTCTTGTCAAAATCTTAATATAAAAATTCTTCGCGACCTAATGGAATGGGGAAGGACGTAACTACATCCCGGCCGGGATGACAGCCCCACCTTGAAATGAAAAAGAAAGAGGCTGGCTGGGATACATACCTCGCCGGGCAAGTCCTTCATGATGACCCATTTGTCTATCAGCTCATTGGAAGCTTGTTTTTCTCTGAGAAATTTTGTGGAAAACTCCTTAGCCTCCTCAAGGATCGTCTCTCCTGGGAACAACACCTGACTAGCCCTAAACAAGTTGTACGTTCCAGTCACAGCTTGTGTGCTTTGTCCAGCCAAGCAGATGAACTCATTGGCCTTCTTGAAATTCTTGAACACATCTACCCACATTACGCAAATTATATTAATTAAACAAATGAAGTTAAAAATATTTACTTTTACCTAGCACAGATTATTACTCACTATTTGCGCGACGATGATGAGCTACTGAAGCAGCTCCATGTAAGTTTTTGCCATTCTTAAATTTATAATTAGTATTAATATTAATCATATTTTATATAAATATTAATTAGTTTGTTTTTTTTTGTTATAGGCCACTATGGTGGAGAAGAGCCAAGCTGTTCTACAGGAGGCAGCTTTGCAGCTTCTCCTGGACACCTTGATTGAGGCCGTCATTCCCACCCAGAATGCGTCCCTTCACATCATGATAGATACCTTTGATTAGAGCCTCGGTCGTAGGCCGGGGGATGTTTACTGGGGCATGGGAAATGCCTGTCATTGTGAGACGACAACCTCATCTTTTAACATGAGCACGAGATAGGTCGCAACATTGACGGTGCAAGTTGCGAACCTGGAGTAGCAGTTAGCAGCCTAGACTGCCCACATTGAGGCCCAAATTGCGGCCCAGGAGACTAGGATAACCTAGATCATAGACACTCTTCGGTTGTCCGGCTTCCAGTTCCCCGCGCTAGCACATACAGAGCCTTTCATGCAGTGGATGGAGTTTTGTGCGCAGAATCTTCCCGTGGTGGTTTTTGAGCTTTGGTTGATGCTGATTTGGGCAATTTGGAAGCATAGAAATGAGGTGTTGTAGACTGGGACTAGTTTGCCACCGTAGGAGATAGTTTTGAGGATTGAAGGTTGGTTGTATGAATTTCATAGATGGCACAAACCCCTTACCCTGGGGGCGGCTCGGGTGTTTCAAAAATGGAAGAAACCTAGGGTGGGATGGATTAAATGTAATTTTGATGGTGCATGGAGAAAAGGTGGTTCTAGGGGGGTTACGGTGTAGTGGTTAGAGCTCATACAGAGGATTCTTGGGAGCTACGCCGGGACCTGTTGAGGGGTCGACGTCGACTCTGCATTCAGAGCTAATTGTTGCTCGTCATGCAGTGGAGTTCTTTAAAAGGTTTTGGTCACCTGCAGTCAAGGTCATATTTGAAGGGGATTCATCAGTTGTGGTTGCTGCAATGGCAGGAAAAGGGGACGATGATTCCTGTTTGGGAATGATTATAAATGACTTGAGTTCTTTCTTTTTGGAGCTGCCTTATGTGGAGTGTGGTTATATTTAGAGGGAAAGAAATTCAGATGCGCATCGCTTTGCACGGATGGGCACCAGTTGTTTCCATGATATACTGTGGTTTGAGGAACCTCCGGATTTGATCCACGATCTTTTGTTTGAGGAAGGCATGTAATTTCAGTTTCTATTGTACTGTTAAGGGTAGCTCTTTGTTTGTTCACGATGCTCTTTTCCTTAGACCGGGTTGAAAGTCCCGACAAAGTTTTTATCGAGGCCCACTTAGCACACTACCCTCAATTTGTACGAATTCTACGTTATGTTAATGAATATCGTACTTGTTTCAAAAAAAAAACTATTGTTTTTGTTGATGCACAAAACCGGAGGTTTTGGAACAACGTAAATCCGACCGTGAATCTGCATGAAATGTAAATAACACAAGATGTATCGTGGTTCACCCCAAGGTTTGGGCTACGTCCACACTGATATTGTATTTATCTGAGAGGTGAGGGAGAGAACGTCTGTAATATGAGAGGGGATGTGAGAGGGGTGAGAAGGCTTAAGGAATTGCCTCTCCTCATTGTGAGGGTGAGGGGTCCTTTTATAGAATAAGGACTCCTCACTTATTACATATTTGCCCCTTCCTTTATTACATAATTACATTTAAGTCCCCCGAGTATTTATACGAGGTCTAAATACGAGGCCCTAAATATGGTATAAACAGTAGTCCCCCAAGTCTTCAATCAAGAGAGTCTTTTGGCTGGAGACTTGAAATTCAATCCATGTGTGGGCTGAAGTTACTAGATGTTGTCTTGAACTAATGCTCGATATGAGGCAGTGCTCAATCTAAAATGATGCTCAACTAGAAGTAGCACACGCTGCGAGGCTGCTCGGCTAGTGGCTTATATTGCCTTGGTTGGCTTGGCTTGTGGCTTTTGAAGGTGAGGGAGTCATTTTTATAGAATAAGGGATCGCTCCTCAATACATAAATGATGGGTTAGAGTTGATGCTCTCAGCGATGCGGTTGCTCAGTAGGCGGCGATGCTATCTAATGATGGTGAGGGAGTCCCTTTTATAGAATAAGGGCTCACTCCTCAATACATAAGTGATGGGTTAGGAGTGATGCTGGCGGCGAGGCGGTTGCTCAGCTGGCGGCGATGCTCTCTAATGATAGTGAGGGAGTCCATTTTATAGAATAAGGGCTCGTTCCTCAATACATGAATAATGGGCTAAAGTTGATGCTCTCTAATGATGGTGAGAGAGTCTATTTTATAGAATAAGGGCTCGCTTCTCAATACATGAATGATAGGCTAGAGTCCCTCAAGTATTTTTCATAAGGCCCAGTTGAGGCCCAATATATGGTGTATAGTGTAATCCCCCAACTCTTCGGTCAATAGAGTCTGTTGGTTGGAGACTTCAAATTGAATCCATGTATGGGCCGAAGTGGCGTTTGTTCGAAGGTGGTATTTGTATACCCTGCATTGAAGCTTTGTAAGTGAAGCTTTGCAAGTGAAGCTTTGAAGCTAGAGCTCTGTAAATGAAGCTTTCGAAGCTGGAGCTTTTGTAAATGAAGTTTTTGAAGCTAGAGCTCTGTAAATGAAGCTTTTGAAGCTGGAGCTCTGTAAATGAAGCTTTTGAAGCTGATTGACATGAGTGATGCTCATGAATGTTTATGTTGATTGACATGAGTGATGCTCATGGATATTGTCATGAGTGATGCTCATGAATGTTGACATGAATGATGGTGATGAATGTTTATGTATGATTGTCATAAGTAATGCTCATGAATGTTTATGTATGAATGACATGAGTAATGCTCATGTATAATTTGGAGTACTGGGCGTACTTTTGATCAACTGGTTGGTGGCATGAAGGAGAGTACGGGTTGTACATTTCATCACTTGGTTGGTGGCATGAATGGCTAGTTGCTAAATGATATTAGAGTACGGGTTGTACATTTCATCACCTGGTTGGTGGTAATAGCGGCAGGTTGCCGAATAATTTTGGAGTACTGGGCATACTTTTGATCACCTGGTTAGTGGTAATAGCGGCATGTTGCCCAAAAATTGTGGAGTATTGGGTGTACTTTTGATCACCTGGTTGGTGGTAATAGCGGCGGGTTGCCGAATAATTGTAGAGTATTGGGCGTACTTTTGATGACCTGGTTAGTGCTATTTTAGGCTTATGGGCCTTCGCTCTCCACACAACATTCCAGCCCATTTATTTTGGGCTTGCAATTTTTTTTTTGTTTTTGTTTTTTTATTTTTTTTACCCTCTGATAGGGTTTATACAGATGTCTCTGAAAGATAAGAAAAATAAATTACATCATCCAAAAGGTTTCGATACAAAAGCTTTGACAGTTGCAGATCGTTGATGCGTTGCTTTTGCTTTTACTTTTGTTTTCTACTTTGCTTTTGCTTTTGCTTTCGTTTCTGCTTTGCTTTCGTTTCTACTTTGGTAGATGGCAGACAACGCCAAAGCGAAATAATGAATTATTATGAGAACATGAATCTTATCTTCTGCCTGGTTTTCCACTAGTGCTCGTGGTTTTCGCAGGAGATGGGATCTGGGTCGGCGACTACCCAACACTTTGCCCTCATACATAATAGCCTGATGTCCCACTGCCATCTCCATACTGAAAGGTGTACAAACACTGGTTATTCTGCGTGGAACAAACAGAATCCAATTGAGATCTAAGACTGCACCTTCGATCTGAGCAAGAAATGAATTGTGATGTTGACAAATTTCCAAGATCAAACAAATTGAGCTGAATCGGGAGTCCACTTGTTTCCGGGCAACCGTTGCAGGAATCGCAACTGACCCACAAACATCACTTCCGCTATCAATCTGCACATAATAATCCCTTGGAGGAGATCCCAATTGCAGCTTTGTATAATAAAGCCCAACGTGGAAGGGGTTGTAAATTCCCTCGACGGGGAAATCAGCGACGCCATTGGAGGACTGAAGCCTTCTCCCATGCCGGACTCTGTCCCGGGCTCTGAGTTGGCTCAAGCCCACTCGGTGGTTCGAAGGAAAAGTTCTCTCGAGGGTGAGGGTGGCCTGAAAAACTGCACAGAACCACGGCCGCCGACATTAGAATGGCTCCGGCGATGAGAATCCCAGCAGGAAAGACGATGTTTGTGAAGGGATTACTGAGACGGACAGAGTCAAAATAAATCTTCACTTCCATCTTCTTCTTCCTCTTCCAAATGCGACGCCTTCTTCTTCTTGACCCCCATCTTCTTCTTCTTAGCTCCCTTATGTCCCTCTGACCCGGCTTTCTACCCATCCAAACCCGACCCGGCGTGATCCGGGCCGCCACCCTCACTATTCACGAACAAGCTTGCCTATTTGGAAGAACCAGTGGGCAGGATCTCCACTAAGATTTTATGGGGCGGATCGTCGAAATGGGTCGTGTTATTTTCACGGGCCGTTAGGCACAGGCAGGTGACTTGGACAGAGCTTTGTGATTTAGGGAGAAGATCTACGACGGGGAAGTGAGAGGCGTAGAGGCGGAAGGAGCGGTCTAAGAGGCTGGTGAAGGAGAAGGTGGCGGCGACCAAGAGGAGGGCTCCGATCTGGTATGTGCGGGTGCAGAGAGGCTGCTGGTGGTGCTGCATGCTGAATGGTCTGGGGGACTATAACCTGGATGAGCACCCATTGCAAGGTTAGGAGACGGGCCAGGAGCATGAGAAGGAACGGGAGCAGAATGTTGGGCAGATACTGGGGCCCAACGCGCTTAGACACGGCCTCTGCTGAACCAGAAGCAATTTTAATTAAAACCAACCACTTTTGCGAAGGATCACAATTATCTGATTGTTTTTCTTTGTGTGATTGAAATATACAGTGTAGATTGCACCTAAAAATAAAAGAAGGCAGACATAGAGTAGGTTTTTTTGTTTCTGGGTTTTTGTGATTTTGCAGATTCATGGTGGAGGTGAAAAAATGAAAAAGAACCGACATAACTTTTCGTATCGTTTCCTACAGACGGCGCCAAATGTTGATGCACAAAACCGGAGGTCTTGGAACAACGTAAATCCGACCGTGAATCTGCATGAAATGTAAATAAGACAAGATGTATCGTGGTTCACCCCAAGGTTTGGGCTACGTCCACATTGATATTGTATTTATCTGAGAGGTGAGGGAGAGAACCTCTATAATATGAGAGGGGTGAGAAGGCTTAAGGAATCGCCTCTCCTCATTGTGAGGGTGATGGGTCCTTTTATAGAATAAGGACTCCTCACTTATTACATATTTGTCCCTTCCTTTATTACATAATTACATTTAAGTCCCCCGAGTATTTATACGAAGTCTAAATACGAGACCCTAAATATGGTATAAACAGTTTTTATTTTAATTAAACTAATTTAAATGAAATATCAATTATTTGTTAAATTAAATTCTAAACAATTAAAAATAAAAAATAAAAAAAAGTTTATGTGACGATAAAACTTAATCGCACTAAAGTAAAGGAAAACAAATAATTCGTTGTGCAAAACACTCAACAACAAATTACTTATAATTTAATAATTTTTAAATTACTTAAAAATGATAAAATATCATTGCGCTAATGTTTGGACAACAACAGTATTCGTTGCGCCAATACCTACTTAAGGAAATGTTTCATTGCCATTACTTCAAGGTAACAACATCTTTCGTAGATTTGAATCTTGCGCCAAAAAGGGCATTTTCCCTTAAAACTTAGTGTTACAAATATCACTTGAGTCGCGCAAATACAACTTTCATGTCTTCGTCGTGCAAACCCTAACTTTATGAACTTTGCGCGACAGCATGATGGCGACATTTTTTGTGCGACGTAATTCTACTTTGCGCGACGGCCTTTATTTTGTCATGGTAACTGTTAAATTTAGTAATGACTTCACATTCTAATTAATTAACCGACAAAGGCATATAACTCAAAGAGCTTTCACTCCTACATTCATGATCTTGAATTTGATTCTTTACTCCCCTAAATAAAAAAGTAAAATGAAAAAACTTACCAGCATATACTTGGTGGCCATACAACCTGAGTAGTCTGAATCCCATGGATGTGTCATCAATATCCCGAATCTCCGAATTTCTGACCCAACCTATTCCTTTCTCAGTCCAATATCTATAATTAACGAAAAAATAATGTCATAAAAAGATTATAATTAAGTTTTTACACTATTTGATGGTGAGAGAAGAATAACACTTGTATCCCCATAAGGGGATACACATTTTTTTGTGTAACGTATTTCTGCAGTACACATTTCATATATAACCGGAATTATTCAATTTCTTAATTTTCATTTGAAGATCATCATATAGAATCCCAAAATATCTTCTTCTGTAGCAAACTTTTTATTGAATGAATAATAATTACAACAGTGTTGTATCTATACATTTGTGCTAAGGTGCATATTTATAGAATTGTCCCTAGAACTTCTAACTAATCACAACTACAAGAATAACAAATACATTATACAAACAAACATTATGTAAGTGTGGTTTCCTTGGAGCATGCATGAACTGACAAACTTGGTTCACTGCAAAGGAGATATCAAGCCTTTTCCAAGTGAGGTATTGCAATCCTCCAGTAATGGACCTATAATCAGTAGGATTGGACAATAGAGTGCCACTGTGATCAAGTTTATGTGCACTTACTGGAGTGGAGCAAGGTTTGGCTCCTTCCATTATAGTTTTCCTAAGAAGATCAAGAAGATATTTCCCTCGATGCAAAAAAAGAGTATTAGTGGATCTATGAACTTCAAGTCCCAAAAAAATAGTGTAAAGGGCAAATATGTCATCTACGTACACAAGAACAATAACCAACACTGGTGCCTTGAAAAAAAAAACAGTGATCCATAAGAGGAAGATTGATTAAAATTAAAGGAGTGAAGAGCTTGAAAGATTTTATCAAACTAGGTTCTAGGGGCATGTTTTAACGCATAGAAAGATTTCCTTAGTTCGTAGACATGAGAAGAAAAGTTAGGATCATGACATCATGGTGGTTGCTCCATTAAAAAATCTTCCTTTACGTCACCATGTAGAAATTCATTGCTAATATCCAACTGATTGAGTAACCAATTGTATTGAACAGCAAGGGACAACAATATCATGATTGTAACAGGCTTAATAACTGGACTAAATGTCTCCTGATAATCTAAGCCAACTTGTTAGCAAAAGCTTTTAGCCACCAGTCTAGCCTTATATATGTCAATAGAATTTCCTTAGTTTGTAGACATGAGAAGAAAAAGTTAGGATCATGAAATCATGGTGGTTGCTCCATAAAAACATCTTCTTTTAAGTCACCATGTAGAAATACATTGCTAATATCCAACTGATTAAGTGACCAATTGTATTGAACAGCAAGAGACAAAATATCCTGATTGTAATAGGCTTAGCTATTGGATTAAATGTCTCCTGATAATCTAAGCCAACTTGTTGGTAAAAGCTTTTAGCCACAAGTCTAGCTTTATATCTGTCAATAGAGCCATCAAGGTTCTTTTTATCTTGAAAATCCATTTACAGCCAACCATATTTTGATTTGAAGTTGAGGGAACCAAAGTCCAAGTTCCAGTGGATTGTAGTGCATTGAACTCCTCCTGTATAGCTTTCCTCCAATGGATAAACTTTGGTTCTTGAAAGATAAGTACTTGGAAGATAGTTATCAACAGATACATGCAATGGATGTTTAGTGGTTAAGTAGGCTTTAGGTTTATAAAATGCCAGCTTTAGATCTAGTGACCATGGTATGAATATTTCTAGACAGAGGTGTATTTGCAGATGCAGAGGATCCAATAGGAGTAATAGAGGACACAAGACCTTCAGGAGGAACTTGAACTGAACTTGAAGATGTAGTGGGTTCTGAAGGTGAGCATGATTGTGTATCATCTACGAAAGATGATAACTTTGATCGAGGAAGTGAAAAGTGAAGACCCATAAGAGTAGCTGAATCATGAGAAGTAACTGATTTTGGAGTAGCTGGATCCAATACTAAGATATGAAAAGGAAATGTTGGTTCATCAAAGATATGTCTAAAAATATGCGACCTCTTTGTATTATGATCAAGGTACCTATAACCCTTGTGCTGAGTATTGTACCAAAGAAATACACAAAGTGTACTTTTGCCATCCAATTTAGATCAAACATATGGCTTGAGCCAAGGAAAACAACTGCAGCAAAAACCTTCAATCTTGAATAGTTTGGAGAAGTCTTAAAAAGCAATTCCCAAGGTGTTTTAACATAACCAGAAATTGGTAGCCTATTAATTAGGTACATGATAGTAGAGAAGGCTTCAACCCAATATTGATGAGGAACTTTGGAAACAATCAGTAAATTCCTAGCAGTTTCAGCTAAATGCCTATATTTTCTCTCTACACAACCATTTTGCTTAGGGATGTGTGGGCAGCTAAGTTGATGAAAGATGTCATGAGATTTAAGAAATGATTGAAATAAATTGATAGTAAATTCACCTCTTGAATCTGATCTCAATATCTTTATCTTATTATCAAGCAATTTTTTTACATAGTTTGTGAATGTAACAAAAGTATAATACACTTCTGACTTATACTGTAGTGGAAAGAATCAACTGTATTTGCTAAAGTCATCAACAATTATGAGATAATACCTATAACCACTCACAGACATAGTAGCAGTAGGTCCCTATACATCATAGTGAAGAAGTTGCAAACTTGCAGGACTGCTAGATATAGTCTTGTGAAATGGCAGTTTATGATTTTTGGCAATAGCACAGTCAAAGCAAAAGAAATCCATATAAGTTTTACCATGCAACACAAGTTGATTACCAGACATTATTCTTCAAAAAATGGAAGAGGAAAGATAACCATGACGTTTGTGCCATACACGAGTTGAAACGTTGACACTCATTAATGCATAAGTAGAGGATGCAGAGACCTTTGAAGATTATGGAGACCTTTGAAGACTATGGAGAACTTTGAAGAAGATACAATCCATCAGAATCAGAATCAAGTGTTAAAGAACAATGATTATCTTTTAGAAACTGATATGCATACAGTAAGTTATACTGCATTTGTGGCACATGTAAAACATTGTGCAAGTTAAAAGAATGATAGGGATTATGTAAAACATATGAGCCAATATGATTTATTGACAAACCTTTATCATGACCTATGAAAACCTTGTCTTGACCTTGATAAGGAGCAAGAGATTGGATGTTAGAGATATCATTGGTGATGTGTGATGTGGCACCAAAGTCAGTAAGCGAAGGTGGAGTGGGCTTAGAACTATAGTGGTGTTGTAGGGGGGACGGTGGCTAAGATTGAACAAAAAAGGCATTAAATAGCTCTTATGCACTAGAAGAAGGATTCTTTTTACGACGGGACATAGAGAGCTCATTTGTGAGCAATAGACCGTGCAATTCATCAATTGAAGTAGAGGATAGGTAGAGCATAACCAACTCAATGAAAGACTTATAATCTTTAGGCAATCTAACAAGAGTTGTTGTAATGAGATTGTTAGTGTATAAGCATTGAGCTAATCTAAGTTTAGTAAAATAAGCCTTGTGTTTAGTTGTGTATCCACTTTGGTTATTTTCACCAAGTGTAGGGCTCATATTGTAATTATGTCTAAGTGACATGTGTAAAGATCCTAGAACTTAGCTAGATGTGTGGCTGGGATCATTTCTTGATGTAATGGTGAGAATCCAGTTGCATAACAAACCATTATGCATTGCTGTGTGTGTGAGTGTGTGAATACAGAAGAGAAAGAACATTCTTTGTGATTTTGCATAGAGTGAAGCACTCATATCCATCTTCATTCTTTCTATGATTTCTTCTTCTTCTCTTACAAATTAGCACACTCTAAATCAAACTTCGTCATGGCCTCAGAGCCAGGTTACGATCATTTGAAATCTAGGTGTAAACTGTGAAGCTAATGTCATCGACGTTGAAGCAATTGAGCTACATTCAAGCTCATTTCGATTCAGGTGAAGTCGCCGAAACTCCATAGAACCCGATTTCGGTTTGTGTTCGTATCATCTAAGCTAAGAGATGGCTAGATTGTTGGAAGTATGCCCACAAAGCCACTCATTTGATGTAATAGCTTTTGGAATACTTAATGTATTAAACTTTTATATGTTTAATGAAGGGCAAAGCTTATTGTTAATCACTATTTATTGTATCTTGTGTTTAAGCAATAAGGGAATCCAAGGAATGTATTTGATCTAAGAGATAAGTGATTTCAGTAAGTTAGATTAACTAGACCTTTCTCTTATGTTCATTCCTAAAACGTTCCTAGCCATAGGATTGCCAATTGGGCATTGACAATCCGCTAAGGTTAGTATGTGTTATGTCGACTCAAGCGCGAGTATGATAAGTCTCAAGTCATTTAGTGTTGGACACTAAGACAAACACATAGGTGCTCAAAAGAGTAATCGAGTACACTGAACAACGATCAAAAGAGAGTTCAAACATACATGTCATGTAAGAACTCGATAGTTGCAATATGCAAAGTAGTCCTTTGACCTGAGGCATCATAGATGTCTAATGGTTAGGTCCTTGATCTTTGATCATGTTAAATGGCATTCCATTGGAGTGTCCACGGCATTGTTGGGATCAAGCTATCTAGTCATGTAGGCATATGAATGTACAACAAGGGATCTCTAACCTTCCATGGTGGAAGGAGAATACTCTAAGATATGATTCGGGAGTCTTTGGCCAAAGCATATGAATATGACTTAGGAAGTTTGTTCCAAATCATGTTCAATTGAATCATATAGAGAAGTATCACATTGGATAGTAGACATGAAACAAACTATCACTTAAACAATGTGATTAAGAGTATTGTATTAGAGAAGGACCGTATTGCATTGTAGTTGTAATTGGATAGGTTCTCCAACCAATTCTACTTAGCTTAGGTACTGCTAGGTGTCACTCATGGTTTGTGGAAGCCCTAATGATTAGCAAACACTAATTTTAAGGGAGAATTGAAATGTGGTTTCAATTCACAATCGATCGTTAAGAGTAACAATCGCCCACTACCTCGTTGAATGGAACCTAATGGATCGTACACCGAGTAAGGATGATAGTGAAGAAATAAATAAGATGGATATGCAATTAAATTGTTTAATTGAAAAATGGTCAAGATTAA